CATAACAACCTATACCAACCTATATAACAATCTATGTCTAACAAGTCTGATTCTAAGGGATCCAATGAGCACAAAACCAGATAGTATCGAGGTATAGCAGGTCTGCATTGATGACGAATGCGGATTAGTAACGACACTATTCATATGAACCACGCGATCCACTCAAGTGGAAGCAGATACGCATGGGTCACCCGTAATGAGAATATGAACATACATAAGCAGCTGATAATCAACTATGTTGACATTTCCTCAAGTAAAACACGAATCCTAGCCACTTCTTCCAAAGCGCCGTTAACAACTCCTCGGGCCTGACGAGCTTTTTTCTCATTCTTATCGATGATGTGTGGCTTTACCTGAACAAGGAGAACTTCGATTCATAAGCAAAAACCAAGTTACTCTGAAGCTCACTTTGCCTTCCTGCTTATCCCTGAGCACAATAGCTTCATATTTCTCCGCTTTTCTTCGAAACTGCTCACTCCTCTCTTCGTATTTCTTCAGAAGTCGCTGCAATCGGGAAACAAAATCGGAGCGGTGTGAGCTCTGGAAGCAGATAAAACAATATTTCTCAGAACATATATTCTGTCACATTTTCAGCGATATCTGAAATAGCTCATGCATGGAAATATAATTATCAATTACAATAACAAACCTCAATTTTGAGAGAAAGGCGAGCATTATAGCCAGGGATCGGACAGACCGTAAATCCATGCGGAACTGTGTGATCAAGAGAACTGACATTCAACAAGTCAAACTTTGCGAGATCAAATAGCACCGAAGAAAGCCGATTGAAGTCTGGAGATGTATCGTCGCAATGCAGAGCTCCTAAAACACTTACTGCGTATAGTGAATGAATGCATCACTTCTATTTTAGAAGTCAAGAAAGTAGGAAGATAGCACTACACTGCATATAGTCAGCTGTACGTAAAGGGGGTGCCGGACTTCACTCAACATACATTTCGCTGTTTTGCGAGGTGGAGGTGCTGTAGTGGCAAAAAGCGCGCTTACCAGTGGAGAGGATTAAATCCTGAATCAGTTCCCGCCCAGGCC